AAAATCCCCCTTTTAAGGGGGGCCCCTCCCCATTTTTTACCCCCTAAGTTTTTTCTTGGCCCCCCCCCCCCCCCCTTAAGAAACACCCACTCCCAAAACCCTTTTTTCCTTGCCCCCCCCCCCCCCCCCCCCAGGCCCGACGCCGCTGCCGCAAACGACGCCTCCGCTCGCTCCTCCACCAACGCCTCCGCCTCCGCCTCCGCCATCGCCTCCGCCAACGCCTCCCTCCGCTCCTCCCAAGTCTCCTCCCGCCGCGACTCGGCCGTGGTCGACTCGGCGCGCTCGGACGACTCCGAGGCCGCGTTTGAAAAGTACGTCGCGCGCATCTCCGCGGTGCAGGAGGAGCAGGATGCAAAGGAGCAGGCGTGCGACGGTCGCTACGATCGCTCAGAGCCCACTCGACCCGCCCCCTCCCCCTACTGCTCGACCGCACCCGACCCGTCGACCAAGAGAGCGCCGAGAGATCGCCGAGAGAGATGGCCGAGAGATGGCCGGGAGGTGGCCGAGAGATGGCCGGGAGGTGGCCGAGAGATGGCCGAGAGGTGGCCGAGAGGTGGCCGAGAGGTGGCCGAGAGGTGGCCGAGAGGTGGCCGAGAGGTGGCCGGGAGGTGGCCGAGAGATGGCCGAGAGGTGGCCGAGAGGTGGCCGAGAGGTGGCCGAGAGATGGCCGAGAGATGGCCGAGAGGTGGCCGAGAGGTGGCCGAGAGGTGGCCGAGAGGTGGCCGAGAGGTTGCCGAGAGATGGCCGAGAGGTGGCCGAGAGGTGGCCGAGAGGTGGCCGAGAGATGGCCGAGAGGTGGCCGGGAGGTGGCCGAGAGATGGCTGAGAGATGGCCGAGAGATGGCCGAGAGGTGGCCGGGAGGTGGCCGAGAGATGGCTGAGAGATGGCCGAGAGATGGCCGAGAGATGGCCGAGAGGTGGCCGAGAGATGGCCGAGAGGTGGCCGGGAGGTGGCCGAGAGGTGGCCGAGAGATGGCCGAGAGATCGCCGAGAGACAGCACAGGCGCAGCAGCATCCGTGTAGCAGCAGACGGCGCGCGCGCTCTTGTGCCACAGGTGTACGGCGCCGGCGGCCTCCTCCAGCGCCTCGGCCTCACCCCCCGCTCGCGCGAGGTTGCACGCACCGAGCACATCCAGACCGCGTACGCGTCGGACGACTCGGCGCGCTCGGAGGCCGCGTCGCCGCCTGCCAACGCGACTCCCGCCGGGCTTCTGGCGGCGGTCCAAGCAAATGAAAAGGACCGCCGCACGCACACGCACACACGCACGCACACACACGCACACGGCCTTGCACTTTGGATGCCGGTGCGGCTCCTGTGTGTCTTCTAGACGTGGAGTCGCGAGGGACCAGCCTGGCCCTTGCCCCACCACCTCGTGTGTGTGTGTGTGGAAGTGTGAACGCCTGCCCTGACCTTAGGATCGCGCCGCCCGCGCCGCCGGCGCGCCGCCGCCGCCTGTCCACACGAGCTACGGGTCGGACGCCGGTGACGTCTCGCCATCTCTCGCCCTCTCTCGCCATCTCTCGCCATCTCTCTCTCTCCCTCTCTCTCCCTCTCTCTCCCTCTCTCGCCCTCTCTCCCTCGCTAGGAGTCGGAGGCGGGGGGCCACACTGTCCAACATCTCCCCACATCTCCCCACATCTCCCCACATCTCCCCGTACTACCTCTCCCCCCCTCCAGGCCCTCCTTCGGGGGCGAAGACGGGAAAGACGGAGCCGCACCGCCTGACGTCCGTGCAGAAGATCGAGGCGGCCAAGGCGGCCGGCGGCTCGCACGGCGGCGGCGAGTACACGCCGAGCGGCGCGATTGTCGGCGAGTCGGAAATGCTCCAGTCGGCGCGGCTGTGGGTGGAGACGCAGCGGCGCGACGTCGGCGCTGATGGTCTCCCCACATCTCCCCACGCCTCCCCACCCCTCCGCACAGGTGGAGACGCAGCGGCGCGAGTCGGAGCTGATGATCAACGACGCCGACTCCTCGCGCCGCGACTCCTTCCAGTCGTCGGTGGAGGGGCGGTCGTCCTGCGACAGCGGTGAAACAGCGTCTCTTCACACCCCTCTCTGGCTGTGAACAGGTGGAGGGGCGGTCGTCCTACGACTCCGACGCGACCTCCGCCTCCGAGGCGTGCGAGAGGAGAGACGAGACTCGACGAGATTGCGGAGACGAGATTCGACGAGATCCGACGAGTCTCGCTTCCCCATCCCCCTCCCTCTCTCCCTATGGCTCTCCCTCTGGCTCTCCCTCTCTAGAGGGTCTCGAGTCGGAGGCGGGAGGCCACATCTCCCCACACCTCCCCACATCTCGCCATATCTCCCTCTCTAGGAGGAGGCGGGCGACGCCCCCGCGCCCGAGGTCGTCGGCGTGGCGGGGGCCGCCGCCGCCGCCGCCGCCGCCGCCGAGAGCAAGCCGCCGCCCAAGAGCAAGGGCGGGTGGTTCTCGAGCTTCTTCGGCGGCGGGCCCTAGACGCGGAAGAGACGACGGACTCCTGTATTCCACCCCGCGCCCGAGAGCACTCGCACCCCCGCTCTCTGCACTCAGCTGTCTTGCCGCGCGGGAGCAGGCGGACATCGCTTCCAGAAGGAGGGGGGGGGGGGGGGGGCTTCTACTCCCCCCCCATGCTGGGGGGGGGGGGGGGGGGCTGAAAAAAATTCCCCCCCCCCCCCGAATTTGGAGAATTCCCCCTTGGTTACCCCCCTTTTTTGGGGGGGGAAAAAAAAAAAAAGGGATTCCCCCCCCCGGCGCCCCGGGGACCCCTTCCCCTGGGTGCCCCGAGGGGGGCCCCAAAAACCTGCGGCTAAACGCCCTTTAACCCCCCGGGAAAGGGGGAAAACCGGGGGGCACCCCCGGGGGAAACCCCCTCCCAAAATTTTCTCCCGGGGGTTTAAAAGCCCCCCCCAAAAAGGCCCCGGCCGGGGGGGGCCTTTTTTCCCTCCCCCTCAAAAAAAACCGGGGGGGGGGAAAGGGTTTTTTTCCCAATTTTCCCGGGGGAAAAAGCGGCAGGGGGCCAAAATTTCCCGGGAACCCCACCCCCCCCCCGAAAAAAAAAGGGGGGTCAAAAAAGGGGGAAGAGCCCCCTGGGTAATCCTAAGCCCCCCCCATTTTCAAAAAAGGGAAC